AACAGCTGTAGTAGTCTCAGTAGTAAATCCATTATAGACTAGGACGATTCAACGTTATGAATATGCAACGGTGATGATCATAGATGGTACTACCGTAGGATAGTTCTGTTGGTTCTTGTTATGACCTCTATACCAGTTACCGCCACTACCACCACCAGAGCTGGACATGCAACAAACTACTGATAAAATACTTCCGACGAAGCTGCGTACAGCGAAACCGTTGTCGACCTTCAACGGCTGCTCTACAGTACAATACGATATAGACTTCATACTACAGCAGTACTATAGTACTGCAGTTCAGATGGTCTCCAAAGTAGTATTCCAAAATCAATTTCGGATCAGAAAATTTCCCGGTGTTGATTGAATAAATTCTGGACTTCAAATTCAATTATGGCATCGTATTACACGTGTAATAAGCGATTCTGCAAACGATGATGAGTTTCAAGATCGGTTTATTGAACGACCCCTATATTCGAGGTTGACTCGACCGCTCGAGACGGCGGCGAGATTGGATTCCATGGTTCTCCACCACTGACCATATAGTGCTACACTCCCCCGGGATTTTACGAAGGTTAACCACCCTTGAAGATACGGAACGATAGGTCGCTTACGTAGCAATCTATAACTAAATAGCAGAGTACAACATAATCGTTGCTCGAAGAAGTGCGTTAAAACGTTAAAACCCCCAACTTCCAAGCGCTCCTGTTCTTACTACATCACAGTCTGATACGGCAATATCCAGTGCATGCGCCGAGACTGACCATCTTTGGCCTTGGGACTTGGGGTTTATAGTTGAGTAAATGCTAGTGAATGCAAGAGAGCAAGATTATACCCTTCATCCGTGTCAATCTTTAAATGTCGAGGCTGACTGAGCTGACGGCAGGCGGTGGTGGTGAAGGCACAGTACAGACGTAACAAGAGGGGGGCATTACGTTGGATTCCCTCAATCGAACCAGATGAATTGCTCAGTATAGCCACACTTGCTCACCTGCTTGGGGCACCTTACATCTTGCAAAGGGGCTATGGTCATAAGCCTGGGGTCGGGTGTGTCGGCCGATATGTTCAACGTTGGAGTTGGCATATGGGTAGACGGCTCAGATCTGACCATCCAAAGGACATACGCACGCTTTAAAAAGGATAGTAGCGGTACAAATTTCGGTCGGTCAGTGGGAGGAAGGATCAGTCGCTGTCGAAGCTATGTAGACCTTGAAGGGATCCACGTATGAGCGCTGTTCATATGGAATAGTATTATCTCGTTATTACTCAAGTTGGGATAACGACTATTATTCATACCACTCCTCTGTGGATTAGGCCGTACTGGATAGGAGAGGCAATGTACTACGGAGAGCATCGAGTGAGACTTCGTGTCCTTGCCACCATAGGAAGTGTGATCATAGGCCACTACCATTTTTGAGTGTTAGTCGTTAGTTGATTACCTTCCGTCAAAACCAGATTACTATCCTATGTAGACGATTGAGGTTCTTGTGTTCATAGTATAGAGGCCCATCGTCTCTACTTCGCTCATCGCAGCATGTGGGGGTCAATACCGTGAAGTAGGGGGGGCCCCCATATCGGTGTTGGTAGTCTGTAAGGCGTCTTTGCTCTATGGCGAACTATGGGGGGACTACGCCTACACCACAGCAGCAACCACAGCAGCAGCAACAAGGGGCTATACAATACTCTGCCGACCCGGCGGAGGCCCTTATGCAGTATCAGCAGGCGATGGCTATCTACCAAAGACAGTATGCTGCTGCGGTAGGGGGAGGTAGCTACTAGGGGTACTGGTGCAGGTGGCCTGCAGGTACAACAGCACTTTGTAAGGCAGCAGCAGGAGGTTGTGGCTACGGCTATTGCCATGCAACAACAGCAACAGCCATGGCACCAGCAGCAGCAGCAGGGGCTTCTCCCTTCTCCTCCTCCCTCCCAGCAACAATCGTCTATGGGCCCACAAGCCTTACCGCTCCAGCAGACCCCTCCTGCTCAGCAAAGTTTGCCCATTGGTCCTCAACCGTCTGCTACTACACAACAGGACCCTGTGCGGCAGCAAGTGCCTTTCGGTCCCCAGGGAGTGCCTCTACAACAGCAGCAGCAGCAGACTCTTCCACAGAGGACACCCCAGAGGATGGTCGGAGCATACCAGCAGTATCAACCCCAACCCGCTGCACAGACAACTACTGGTCGGCCGAGCACAAGCCCACCGTACGTGGTCAGTAGTGATGCCACGCCGCCTCCCCTGCAGCAGTCCTACCCTCCTCGCGCGGCCCCCCTCCAGACCAGCCAGCAATCACCAGTACAGTACCCTGTGGGGCGAGGGACGCCCCACGTTGCCGTCATGGACACCTACGACTGCTACCGAGGCCGAACCATCGGGCAGCAGCAGCAGCAGCAGGTGACTGCTCTCGCGGACGTGCCAACTATAGAGTATAGAGGAAGGCATACCGCGCCGTTGTCGTCGTCTACTAGGGTGGCCCCTCAGCTGACAGAACCACGACCGGTGAATCGGTTTGACCAGCGGAAGGGCGGTGGAAAGGGTAGTAAAGGCCGCAAGAAGGGCGGCAACAAATCTAATGCCAATAAAACTCCTTTGGGACCGCGAAAAATACCAGTCGACGGAGCGAAGCCATCACAGCAGCAGCAGGAGCAGCAGGGGAAGGAGGGAGTGGCTGTAGGCCGAGCGCCTCTAGGGGAACTGCGCGTGTCAGCAAAGGAGGGTCCCACTACCCCTGTGAAGGAGGAAGCCCCTAAGCTGGACAGGGAGGCTATGGCGGACATGTACAAGCAGGCGATGGCGCAGTCCGACGTCCCGCAGTGGAAGTAGGGATGCTGGGGTGATGCCGGTGTAAGGCAGTGAAGATCTGGTGTAGGTTGG